ACTCTAAAGGTCAGGGAATCCATATAAAACAGTGCATGGGTACAAAACATACCAACCAACTGCTCCTTATACTGCCTTGCAAAAATACATGTAGCTCATTAGGTTGCTTACCTTTTGACATGATGCTGTTACTGAATTTTATGTGACAGACCAACAGAAAGTAGTAATCATGCTAATTCCACACACTTACTAATCATAAAGTGTAAAAATATTCAAATATTTTTACAACTAAAACATATAATAATAATCAAGCCTGCATTTGTGTTCAACCCATCATGTTTCTATCTCTGCTTTAGCAAAGCACCACCTATCATTATGACGATGTTTTTTTCCATTTGTTTCTGCTGTGAAAATATGCTCTCATTTCTGTGCTCTGCTTTTTTTCTTGCTTACTGGTTAAAAAAACAGTGTGGGTGGTTCTTTCTCTGCTTCTTTTTGTTGCTGGACATATGCTGCTACGCTGATGTGAAATCTGCTCTCTCCTGGTGAAGAGGCGAGGGCGGAGGTGATGGAGGATCCCTGCAAATGCGAGGCCATGCTGATTTTCCAGAGGCAGACGCAGGCAACCATTCAGCAGCTCACAGCCAAACATATCCTTCCTGTTGTTTCAAATGGCAGACAGTTTTTTTAAACAGTCTGCTGCACGTGTGGCCTGAGCTGACCTGCAGAGCTCAATGTCATGTCCAGCCACTTTTATTGCTTTTTTTCTTTTTCCTTGACTGGTCAAACTAGCTGACATATCCGGGAGAATAGAACATCTGGAGAACATGTTGGGCCGTGCATGAAGCTTTGCACACTCATAAGAGTGACTACCTTCTTTGTTTGAATCATTGGTTAAAGTCACCCACTGTGTGTTCACTTTCAACTTCTACTTCTTTGCTTTCGCCAGGAGCAGACGACTTCTGGGGGCTACTGTGTTCAAGGACATCATCTATAACTTCAGATTTTGTCCATCAACTAAAGCTGTGACTCAAGATTCAGCAATTTGCATCACATGTGATGTTTAAAAATGATTGTTTATGGAACTAATGTTAAGCTTTATGATTGTTGTTTAAGTTTGACTAAAGATCTCATCAGTGAAGGATAAAATATTTTTTTAAGAAAAGTAACCCATTATATGTTAAAATAGCACTAATCTAGGTTTACACATAAAAAAATAACCAAACATTTTTGTTTTATATATTATGAATGTTATTAAGGGACATGTTTAGCAAAATATATATGTAAAATTAACAGGAAATAAATATGTATTTTATAACTGGCTTTGCTATTTTAATTCTTGGGTTTATTTTTCAAAGTATTCAAGAGCAGATAATGATATATTGCGTAAGATTTATACATTTAATAGGGTTTTAATGTGATTGAGCTTCAGTTGTACACAACACAAGTCTTCAAGAAACAAAACAGAAAAAATTTACTATCCAATGCTGGTGGCAAGATTGAAAGCCAGACATTTTATGCTAAAGATCCAGCTTGACCAGTATCTCGAACAGGTTGAAAACAAAAACAATCAAACAAATAAAGTTACCAGTTAAAACTTTGTGAGACCCACAACTCCAATAAAAGTTTGTAATTGTCATAGGTGTGCATGCAGAATTTGACATTTTTGGTGATTTTTTAAAACTATTGTTTTTTGCGGTGTATTGATACAACAAAACAAAAGATATGGTTTAGTAAATTTTTGTGAATTTATTCTGAACTAAGTCTCAGATTAAATCTTAATATAATTCATGCTCACATGTCCATTGTTTAATTGCTTCTCAGTAAATACTTTCTAGTTGCTATCAACAAGTCTGGCTGAATATTTGACCTCTTTTATTGACAGAATTGGTGCAGTTCATCAAAAGGGGTTAGCTTCTTAACATAAACTCAACTTTTTAACATAATTCAAACATTTTTAACAAGGTTAAAGTCAGGACCAATCAAGAATCTTAAGTTAAAATTAATTTATTGGGTTAGGAAATCAAGCAATATAGACGATCAGTTTTAGCTATTCGACTCAACTTGCACAATGATCAAGTATTGATCGAGTTTGCAGTGGGGTCTCATTATCATGCAAGGTTTGAGCTTTGGTTGTTTCAAGTAAATTTGATCACCTATAACTGATAATTTCCTGGACAAAATTTCTCCAAAATTTACTTTTATTTATTTTCAAATAGAAATTCTCTAAAAAATAAACAATAAAAGATAAAAATTATTACTTATATTAGAAGGGAATATTGAAAATGCCCTTAATACACCAACATTGACATGCCAGTATTTATTTATTTTTTTGCAATTTTATAATAAGCAATTTATACTTGATTGGAACACAGTGAAATATCAAATAGCTACTCTGAGATCAATAATAAAGAGCTAGAAGTCAATTTGATAGAAGTGTCTGCTTTTTCTGCAATCTGCAGCAAAAACGTATGTATCCACAGGCAGAATGAATAAATATCTGACTATTTCTATGTCAATATGGGAAATTAAATAGTAGAGCTCTGACATTTCTGTTACCAAAGTGCCATAGTTCACTCTAACATCTGATGCCAGGAGATTTCTTCAAAAATGTTCATGTATTTGACTCTGCAACTCACACAGAAAATATAATACAATTAAACTAACATGAGATATTTATATAACTTGTCACAAACCCCCCCCAAAAAAAACTCCTTTTAAGACTGGGTGAGTCCAGGAAAACAACCTGTGCAGGTCATCGTTGGAATGTTCCTGAAACAGTCCAGTGGACAGAGCGTCTCCTGTCTGCGGCGTCTGAATGAGGCAGAGTCAACAATCCTGGGTTGGTTCGGATCCTCTTCTCTCTTTTGACTGGACAGCTGTTTTGTGTTAGTTTGCTGTTTCACATCATGGTTACAATATACACACACGCACACACACACTGCGGCTCTTAGTGTGTTCATCTTTTCAGGAGAAAAGATAAATGGGACTCACAGTTGTCTGAGAAGAGGAGAAGACACACAAAGCTTTTCTGTTTAGGTTTATCATTAGCTGTGCTTCGGCAGATGTTGGCTTTTATTAACATATCTGCTTTTATAATTTTGTATATTGGTCACGATTTCTGATTTGAAAATTATAATAAACAATCTGAATTGAAGTAGCTATACTGTCCTAAACCTTACAGTAGGTGTTTTGATTATGTACAAAGTTTTTCATGTAGTGCTTATGATCAATCCAGATGGTTTTCAACTTGAAAACCACTTGAAAATGACTTGGCTTGGCTTGAAACGAAGAATTTCTCCTGTTCAGCACTTCAATTGAACCAACCGACCAAACAAGACAAAAACAACAATCCAATTGAGAATACTCTGTTGGTTTGTTAGTGAGGCAGACCTAACTGGTCTGAATGAAAGATTGATGCCAGTACAACTTGGATTTGGACACTTGTGTGTCAACTCTCTCAGCAAACAGCAACTTTTATGTTGGGCAAGTGCAGAACATAATATTTTCTTAAAATCTCACTGATAAATTACATTTACTTGAACTGATCTGTAATAATTAAAAAGAAAATTCAAAACTTACTGGCTGACAGTGAGAGGTAATGTTTGAGGAGCAACTTAAATTTTTTTTCTCAAAATCCTATCAATACCCAGAACTTTTTCTGCTTTTTGATGTTGTAGACATCCCACCAGGTGAGGCTGTGCCATTGTTAAGCTTTCATAAAACTTAGCAGCAAAAGTTATATGTTATTTCCATTTCCCCAAAAGCAGCCTGTTCGTAGCCTCTCTTTCTCAGTCTGCATGTTCTGTTTGATCTGCGTCAACTCATCGGAGATAAATGAGCTGCTCAGGGAAGCACTCAGCTGCTGACTGACCTCTTACTCCTTGTGTCATTTTTCTCCACGACAGGGGACTTCTTTGCCTGAGAAATTGTCTGAGAATTATATGTTTACTTGTTGTTGTACAGATGACCAAAAAAATATCTCATTACCAATTTAACTGAAGCTTTAGACTGTTTTTATCACAGTGTTTTTTATTTTGTGGGAATCAACATTATTTTGAAGTTATTTATGTAAAATAACCCCTTACTTGAACAATATCCTTTGCTTGCATTGTATTTTCACATGCAGTGGTCATATTTGACATGGTGATATGACTCAACATTAAGACAGCCAATTCATCAGGACATTTGAAAAGTAAAGAGCAACTAAATTGCACCTTATATGTCCGCCTGCATGTCCAGGAATCAGGTCCTAGGTGTTGTTGGAAACTAAATGCTGTAAGAAAAACACAAACCAGCAGGCTAAAGATGGTAGTCAAAGTTTGAAACAAAGAGAAATGCAGTAAGTCAATGGGCCAAATCTATATATTTCTACTAATCAGATTTTTTAAAGCACACTTTTGATTCATGAACACTTGTTACATTTGTAAGAACAAGCATCACAAAATTTCACAATTGTGCTGTTTTGGCTCAAAAAGTAAATTGTGTATGTTTCAGAGGAATTGGCTCATTGATGCTGTCATTCATGAAAAGAAAAACTACCACTGCACATGTGATTGTATTTTTATTATGCCAAATTTTTTGCCCTCTGCTGACTGAATAGTCAAGGTATAAATTATATATTTTATTTACACAACGCCAATGTGGTAGCAGAACTTTTGTGAAAAATATTTCAATCCAAGATGACATTCCACCCAAATTAGTCATGATTAGCAGTGAAAAAACAGTGTGGAATTTGACTGAGAATGAAGTCGGTTGAATTAAAAATCTTTAAATAACACTAATATCAATCCTAAAATGCTTTGTAGTGAGGAACTAATTCTACACACCTGACTAAACAAAACCTGATGGAGACTGCAAAAGACTATTATTTTTTCAAATTAATTGTATTGAATATAATGACAATAGTGTCATTATTATTATTATTATTATTATTATTATTATTATTATTATTATTATTATTATTATTATTTTTTTTTTTTTTTTTCAATAGTAAAACGTGACATTTGGTCTGACAATATTGATATTTGGCACAAGAATTTGATTGGACTGTCTGTTTCATGACGTCACATCCTGGACAACCTTTCACCTTTATGGAGGACGAAAATTGTCAGCTACTTGAAAATGCGCATTCTGAGTTTAACAAACGCAACTTTGACAAGGCGGAGGAGTTGTATGCAAGGTTCATCTCTTCCTGTTTACAGTCCAGGTATTATTTGCCTTTCAAGACATGTTAAAGAAGCTAACGGCTAAGAATATGGGTAGTGTTCTGTAACTTTCACCTGTCAAATTTAGCACCATTAATTTTATTTACCGAAAGCCAGCTTATTTCTATCTTCATTGTGTGTAGGTTTAGTATTCATCGCCATAACGAGTTTTATCTGCGCAGGAGCTGTGAAGCCTCCAAACTCGCCACCGCTTACAACAATCGAGGTCAGATAAAGTACTTCCGGGTGGATTTTTATGAAGCAATGGAGGACTACACCTCTGCTATACGGACGGACTGCCAGTTTCCAATCCCTTTCTACAACAGAGGACTCATCCGGTATAGATTAGGTAACAAAATCCACCCCTGACAGTGAGCGAACGATCTAAAATGAACAAACAAACAACTTGACTATCGCCTTCATCCGATCGGACTCTTCAAATTAAAAGCCTGATTTGCTAAAAAACAAAACAAAACAAAAAAACCTCCAGATATTAAATTTGTCTCCTAAAGAACCCATTATAAAAACAAAATATATAAATAAGAATGTAATGAAAGCGTTGATTTATTTCAGTAATTTAATTCAATCGATGAAACTTAGATTTTAAGGGTTTATTTCTATCATTTCTGATGTTTATGACTTACAGCATCATCATGCATACAGATCCTTTCATACCTCTTCTGCAGCCAGTCTCAAGGACCCCCCAAAGATCTACAAGTATGAAACAGGGAAAATGTAAATAATGATTTTGGAACAGTCAACTGAATCAAAGAAATAATGAACCACAGAAAGCAGTTTCATAGAAATTCTAAACATACTGTTAAAATTTCCTAAAAGAATGACTTAATCTGTCACATAACTGACAAAAACAGGGTACTGTTTTTAAGATAAAAACAGCAATCTAAAAATTTATATTTTTCACAGGTGCAATGTACGTACATATAATTTACACGTCTTTTGCATAATAAGCATTGTCTACCTAGAAGATACTTAATTTCCAAAAGAGCAAAAAATCCATCATGAAGACTTTTTGGAAGTCTGATCACTTTGCCATATGCTTTCAGTGGACACTAGATGGAGCTGTGTGTATCCAGTCATTATGTTAGATAGTGCCTAGAACTTTGGCAAATAACACCATATTGCATTATACTGGTATTTAACTTATCATGTGTTAATGCTGTTTTCATGTTTTCTTCCAGGCTTTTTTGAAGATGCAAAAAGTGACTTCCAACAAGCACTCAAGCTAGATGCTGAATTTGAAGATGCTAAAATGAGTCTGCAACAGACACTTCTGGACCAACAGGAAAAGTTAAAAAGAGGATACTGATGATTTTACACAAGCAAGTGTGTGTAACCTCTTGAAAACCTGATTTCTCTGATACTTGGAGAATGTCCTTTCAGATATTTGAGAACATTTAGGCAGGGACATTTCATGCAGACACTTGTTCCATATTGTCACACTGAAGATAATAAAATATTTGTTTTTATAAGCAGTGAATGAAAAACTGATTATTAATTGTTTTTTTCAGATTTGGGAATCCTTTTTCTTTGGAAAAATTCCTTTGATTTCTGAATTTTATTATTGCTGATTTTTAAAAATTCTTATCTGAGATCTACTTGTTTCAGTTAGGAATAATATTTTCATTGTAAGGCCTTCTTCCTGTACATGTTGTTGAAGAAATACTGAGGAAAATATGGCTTAATTTTGGGGAATATATAAAAAGAATCAGTCTTACCCTAGACTTAACCTCAGTTGATCACAGAAGATGACTGATCAAACTGAGCATAGCACTGCCGTGTGGTTCTTTTTGCTGAAAGGGAGTTCTTCCTTTCAACTACCGTTGCATGAGGTATTTCTGCAAAGTCAGCATCATAATGCAGTCAGCTCGGCATCAATAAATAGAAAACTGCCACCAACTTTCATAACATAATAAACTGAATTTGACTTTTTTTTTTATAGATGTAAGATAGGACTGGCTATTACTGGATCTGAGAGTATATAAGATTCCCTTGAATTAGCATGAATGACACTGAAATGAAAACATGTATTGATTGTCTTGTAAAGTGCACTGTGATGTTATATGCCATGATGTATTGATAAATCGAATTGAAAACCTGATTGAAAAATGTGTTTTTTCTTTCTCTTTTAAAACCATCTTTCTATCTTCTTTTGACAATAGATTTTCGGTGGTAACATCAACACCAATAAGGCAGTTTTTTCCCATCTATAATCATAAAGTTCTCCTTGGAATGACTGAAGTTCTAATTGAATAATTTTGACATTTCTTGTGCAAATCCATTCAATGTACATTGTGCTAAAAAAAAAAATCAACAAATAAATGAGACTAATAATGAGATCAAAAAGTGAAGCTTTGGTTTACCACACTGGTAAACTGGGTCATTATTTTGGTCGGGGCTGAAAATATTGTAACTGGCCTCAAATGGATAGAGGATAACTGCTTTTGTACACTACAAAGCATTTGCCGAAAAAGAAACTTATTGGGCAAAATGTGTCACTAAAATTCACATTAAAATCCAAATGTTCATTCTGAAAGAAAAGTGCTCAACATCCGCTTTTGATAGTCACATTATGGTGTTGGAAATGAAATTTTCTGGAAAGCAGTCAATTCAAAACACCAAGCTGAATAATTTTGATCAGACTTGCTTGTCTCTGGGGAGCGAGGGAGGTTAGGTGTAAGGAATTCCCACTAATTAGGACACAGGTGTGTTTGCGATCAGCACCTATAAAACAGCTGCTGGGGCTTTTCAGAACACATTCAGCTCCTCTCCCTTAGAGCTGCTTTGTCCTTTTGGCTTGTTGTGCTTACAGTAAACCAACTTTTGCTGTAGGTTCTTTTTGTTTGGCTTCTGTTACATTGCTTCATGCAGGAACACAAGAGACTGTAAGCATGTTTTATCTTTGTTTTTTTTCTCTTTAAATGTGTAGAATTTATTTTATCTTTGAAATTCCTTTAATTCCAGGTTGCTCTGGAATTTGATTGTGGCACTTTTTGCCTTGGGTCAAGCATGGTCAAACATGATCAGTCCTCAGCCAAGTAAGCTTGACTTTAATCTGTTCAATCTCATGAGCTTTTTAACAAGTGGTTTAACTAGCCCTCTCAACAGGCAGTGGTTTAAAGGCAGACTGTGTTGGTAATCTGATGAGGCTGACCCTAGATGAGGCTCTCGCAGTGGGGAATCAGCTTGAAGTCGAAGCTCTCAGTAAGTTTCAAGTTTTATCAACTGCAATGACTCTAGCCAAGGTCAGTGCAGTTGCAGTTACTCATATGCTGTCTCTGCCATCCAGATGGCACCCAGTACATCTTGTTGACACCCAGTCTAGCTGCTCAGTGTGGCTACAGCATGGAGTCAGATCCTTGGGGCAACACTAGAATCTACACCTCTCTGTTAGGGTGCTTTGTTCAGAATAAGGTTTGTTTTGGTGCAGTATCAAAGACTTATGCTTCAGCATAACTGGGCTTGGTATAATATCAGAAAGTTAATATCATAACTCTGCGCTTTTAGGATGACATGGTGGTCGGTGTTGGTCTGAAACTCAAAATCTACCGCCATAGTCCTTCTGATGTGGTTAGTCACGATGTGGCACAGACCTGCAGCTACACACGCTGGGCCCCCCAAGAGATCCTTTGTGACAGGAACTACATGGAAGTGGGTCATAATCTTTAAAATGACTTCACAGCTAATCTAGAGGATAGTCTGAAGTTATTTTGTCTTGTAGGTTTCAAGATACATGGCTCCCCATGTTGAAAAGGACTCCCAACTCAACACAATCCTTAGTGTAAGTATTAATGGCTGGCAAGGTTTTTCTGAAGCCAAGCTTTCCAGCCAAAATGATAATGTTTGTTTTTTTTTTCTCCCCAGACTTCTGAAGAAGTGTCTGGAATCTGGAAGATGACATTTTTCACTCCTGAACCTATGTCAATGGTCTTGAAAGAAGCCCAACAGGCTGGTTACAGTGCCATGACAACAGCTACCCGTGTGGTTGTACGAAGTCCTTACAACACAGCAGAGACTTATTCAGAGGCTGTAAGTGGAGTTGAATTGTAAAATATTATCTGCTTGAACTGTAAGTGACGTTAAATATAACCATAGGTTGCTGGAGTCCCCATGGAAGTATTGAAGGTGAGCATTTACCACAAGACTCTAGATGGACTGAGTGTCTTCAACTTGGTAGCTGCTTGTCCCACAGGTAAGTCTCTAAATAATCTGGCTTTACATGACGTTTGACTATCAATAGCCTGACTAAATATTATGACTAGGTGGCGTCCTGTTCACTGGGGACCTAATCTCTTGGCATGTACCTCGCCGTGTGACTCCTTTGTTGGATGGAAGCATTAGACTTGTAGAAATGAACATGGGAATCAATGGACTGAAGTTGGATAACGTTCAGATGGCTGCAAGGGGGTACTATCTGTATACTACAGATTTCTATATTATTGTGGAGATCCCAATTGGCTCACCTGATGGCTACTACAAGGTTGGTTGAGGACTCTTAAGAAATGAATATTGTAACTTTCTAATATTAAATCTGCATGTTCAATTGCAGAGCCATGCACCAGACTTCCAGTACCACATCACCTATACTATTGAGCCAATGCTGGAAGTTTTATGGAAGGCACAGCAAACACAAGACACAAGATATAAGATCTTATTCCCCATTACAACCCCACCAATGCCTCGTCCTCCCTACACAAATGACCGTAAGTTTCAATAAAAAGAACCTGAAAGTGGCATCCTGCAAATTTTTAACATGTCTGGTCTCTAGGTACTGTGCCAGAAATGAGGGAATTCAACTTTTACGTTGGAACATTCCTTCATGATGTGGAGCTGAGGAACATCACATTTGCTACTGGAGTCCTTACTGTAGAGGAGAGCAATGCCAGAGGGTTCACTGTTCAGCAGCATGTATTCGCCAATGGAACATCAGTCTTCTTTATCAAAGTTCCTTTTGATACTGATGTCATCTTCAAGCATGTATGTTGGCTATTGCAGATATTCTTGGCTTATTGGTCCACTTTTGGTTAATCCTAAACTCTCCTCTAAAGAATCCACAGGTCTTGGTGACTACCTACACCCTCAATGTGGTCTTTGGCTTTGTCATTCTGCCTGAGGAAAGTTCATTTGTCTATGCAGTGGAATTGCAGGCATCTCTTCAGGATGTTGGTAAGACTTGTGGAACTGGCACACAAAATTCCTTCTGCTCTAAATGGAAAAACTAAATGACTTTACTTCTTCCAGTGTTGCCTACACTCACTGGCTCTTGTGACCAGGATCAGTTCTACATTGTAGTGAAATATGGCAGCCAAGGGACCAACTTCAACACAGTGGTTGGTGGGTTGGACTTGACACCAGAGTTGGCTGAAGCCTACAAGATCAAAGGCAATGCCACACATGGCAGTATTGAAGTACCATATACAGCAATTGGCTCAGTGTTTGAGGTGAGACTGCAAATCTGAACTGTGTGCTGAGCAGAGTCTAGGGATATCAACACTGAATAGCTTCTTCCTCCAGTTGATCACAACAAATTCAATCCGAGCCAGACTTGATGTGCTTGTGTGGGACCCAGTTACCAACTGGATTCTTTCTGACTTGTTCCTGGCCTGCTACTTCCCTTTGACAACCACCAGTAAGTACATACATACAGCTACTAAATTCTGTTGCAGTGCATCTGAAACTTTGTCTTTTTCTTGAAGGATGCTACCCCAATGGAACAATCAGTGCTTTGGCTGTGAAAGTGCAATCTGTGCCCAATCTTGACCTAAGCTGGTTGACTCTAAAAGACCAGTCATGCACACCAGTCTCTAGCAATGATCGCTTTGCTCAGTTTATCTTCAGTGCAGATTCCTGTGGAACAACTAGAACAGTAAGTCAATATTTAACTACTTGGTACTTACACCAAGGCTTAATTTGTATATATATTTTTTCTTTAGTTCTTCGACCACTACATGATGTATGAAAATGAGATTGGCCTGTTCTATAACACTGAGAAGGATCTTACCCACACATCACCTGTTGACCCTGAATACAGGTAAGGCCAACAGACAGTTTTAATCTGCTGTGGGATTTTTGCTCACTTCATCTTTCTGTAGGCAAACCATTTCCTGCTACTACGTGGTCAATGACACACAAACAATTGCCTTCCATGCGAAGTCAAGATTATACGAACCAAAGGCAGAGATCAGCTCTGGACAAATGATTGTCCAAATGAGGCTAGCAAAAGGTCAGGATGCTTTGTGATCTAAATATCATGACTACTTCCTGTTAAGAGTTCTAACTATTAAAAAATAAAATGGACACTCCCCTCTCTAGATTCTTCATATCGGGACTTCTATGAAGCTGAAGACTACCCAGTGGAGAAATATCTGAGGGAGCCACTATACTTTGAAGTTGAGTTGGTGCAGTCAACTGATCCTCACTTGGTATTGATCTTGGATAACTGCTGGGCTACTCTCCAGAAAGAAAGGACTTCTCTCCCCAGCTGGGAGATTATTGTGGCCAGGTAAAAAATAATCTTGAGCAACTTCAAATCCTTAAACTTGAAGTCAAGTAACTTATTGACTTTCTGCTCCAGTTGTCCATACTCCGGCGACAGCTACACAACAGTTTTCAGTACCGTCTCTGCGGATGACAGAGTTTCTGTACCTTCCTGCTACAAACGCTTTTCAATGAAAATGTTTGCCTTCATTCAGGAAGAGCAGGTTCTGAAGCATGAGGCAAGTGTCAAACTCAAAGGTGCCCAAAGTCTGTCCTCGATGGCTTGCAGCCTGCATGTTAATTCACTGTAGGATTAAAAATCTGAGTAATGGAAACTAACGCTGTAATTTACAGGTTTATGTCCACTGTGATGTGGTAATTTGTAACACAACCAGTCCTGCAGAGGGTATCTGCCAAGGCCAATGTGCTAATCTTGCTGTGAAGGGTACTCCAAAACAAATGAGAAGGGGTAAGTTTGTCTAGTTAAAATAACACGCTCTTAAAATGGCAACTTCATCCAATCCTGATGTCTATTGCAGGACAAAGAAGCACAACCTCAACGCACCAAAAGCAGATTTCCTCTGGACCGATTACAATCAACAGTCTTCAATAAATTCCAAAAATATTCCTGCCTTTGACAATTTGATCTATTCTTGTAGTTAATCTTGGAAGCTTTCAATGTTTTAGCCACTACATGGCAATTCTTCTATAGAAATTTAAATCTAGCTCTTGTAAAAACTTGATCTGAAGAGATCTCCAAACTAGGGGAACAGAACTACTAAATCTTCAGGCAAATGAACCCTTGGTATTTTGGTTCTTATCCTGAGAACTAAACATGTCAAGCTAAACTCAACTGGTCAAAAGCATGTTGGATATCCAGGAAAAACTACTAGTAGGCACTGGAGGGAAGATTTTCAGCACTGCCAATATGCCAAGGTCTCTGGAACAAACTTGAGTCTTTCTCACTAAAAACGTGCAACCCTTCAGTTTGTGGCTTCTGAAATGCCTTTAATTCAAAGTAAAGTGTACAATTGGGCCCAGTCTGAACTGGGCCCAATAAACAATCTTAGTTTATTGTTGAACTCAGGCAAGGTGTAAAGTCATAAACCAAACTCCAGAAGTATAGTACAGCTGATGCAAAACACCTGCACAAGTCATTGTAATTTATATCCATACTGGGAGTAGCCCATCTCTAGCGTTTGCAATGGGTATGAGTACGCCATTGAATCAAATTCCATGCAGCAATCATGCACACAACTCAACATCCTGGGTTTCAGGATGGTGTTATCATTCTGGTTTTCACAATGAAGCATTTTCCTTATTCCTTGTGTATATAATTTGATTTTAAGCTTGAAGTAAAATCTGCAAGGAGGGAAATATGTTATTTTGCTGTAATTGATATTTTAAAGGGTTATCAAACCTTTAGAATATTTTGGGCATCAAGTTTTCTATAAAAAGAAGTTCCCAAACATTTTCTAGTCATCCAAACTGGAGTAAAAAAGAATAAACTTAAAAAAATGCAACTGCAGAAGAAATGTTTGGCCTGAAAATTCCTTAACTCTTGTCTACAACCACTAAATGTACACAACTAATGAAAATGGCTCTGAATATTTTCTTATAAAAAGTGGCAAACTGTGGCATATATTAGCCTCCATCCAAAGTTGAATTTCTGAGCAACAGGGCATGTTTCTTCCATCCCCTTTTGGATTACTGCGAAAGGGCATGCAAGCCACAAGATCCTACATATGTTAATTTGCAAGTGTGGTCACTGTCCTTTAGGACAATTTAATATCGAATGTGAGAATTGCACAGTAATCTTAATGCAGGGAATCAAACTGATCTCATGGGATTCTCTTGAATGCCAGTTGGGTAACTATTCAAATTCAGCCTGAGAAAACAATCCTCAAAGTAGATTAAGGTTGGGACTTTTCCCAAATGGGAAGTGTGGGTAAAATCTAGCAAAACTATACCAATCAAATGAAATTTATTTGTATGGCATTCCAGCAGTAATGCAGTTCAATGTACTTTACATACTAAAATTAAAAAATTTCACAAACACCAAAGTTAAATAAGCAAAAAATTTTGATGAGTGGCATGCACATAAAGTATTCTGGTCAATGTTAAATTTATGGTTCTAAAGCAATTCTAAATGGGTGCGTTTTCAATCTTGATTTAAAGAAACTCAGTGTTTCAGCTGTTTTGCAGTTTTCTGGAAGTTTGTTTTAGAGTTGTGGTGCTTGGAAGCTGAATGCTGCTTCTCCATGATTGGTTCTGGGGTTGCAGAACCATCAGAAAATCTGATAGGTCTGGAAGATTGACACAACCAATATTTAATGCATTGTGGTGCTAAACCAACCTAGTTTCTAGTAATAAGTGAAGCTGTGTGCCAACTCTTGATTGTTCCTCTTTTGGTCCAAAGAACTTCAGTTTTGTATGATTGCAGCAAATATTTGCAGTTTAGATTTACTCCTGTTTATAAGCATAGTATTTCACCCAGTCCGTGCAAGACCACTGGAGTTGATGTAGCCAAACCTGAAAGCTGGAAATGATTCGTATTGAAATGATTTGGAGCTGCAGCATGTTTAAAGTTGCACATTCAATTCAGTCACTTCAGCCATTTACCAGGAAACTTTAACCTTTGTGCAATTTTTACATTCTGTTTACTCCCCTTTTCCTATGGTTCAAAAATGCCAATTGAACTTTAAATTCAAAATCAATTATGCATGATGAAACAAATGAATTGTTTAATACATTTTGTCATGTATTTTTTGTTACACAATACAGAAATGTTTTTTTTTTCTATTTTTTTTATCATAAACCAAGTATTGTAACAGTTTTTTTTTTGCACAGTGAAGGTGTATTGTAATTATATAAACATGAAGTAATTACTTCTGAAATAATTATACTGAAAGAGAAAAAAGTAAACAATTTGGAACTTTTAACAGTTCATTCTTTTATTTTTAGGAAGTAATAATAAAAATGCCTCTTGTAACAGTAAAATGTTGCTTGATGCTGTGAACAATTTTCAACATCAGCTGTTGGTGTTGAACAATTTCACTATCCTATGTTGAATATTAAATCGAACATTCTGCAGAATTATGAGATGATCAACACAAGAGGAAGAACATCTCAGCATACAGTTTTGAATATAAGATGAACATCTTCAGGTGATGTTCATCTACTGAACATCCTCAGTTCAACATAAGGTGTTGAACTTATGAATAACTTCCCCATTAGTGGATGTCCATCTTATGAAGATGTTCTTATATTGAACATAAGATGAACATCCTATGCTTAACACCCCATGTTCAACATGGGATCTTCTAGCAAACCGTCAGATGTTCTTCACTGTACAAAGACACTCCTACATTGAACATCTTCAGCACAACAATATGTTCAACATAAGATGTTCAACATCTTATGCTGAAGATTCCAAGTATGTGCAAACATACAACGTAGGACCTGCTGGGCAGTGAAACATACTAATGGCTTCAGCAAGGAACTGACTAAGGGTACTCAGCTTCAGCATATCTTCATATCCTCTATACCCAATTTTTTTACATCTGAGATTTTCTGTTTGGGAGCTTGATGTGAGGGGTTCGCTGCAGATTGAGTGTGCAGGTAAAATGCAAGTTCAATTCATACACCTAACCAGTTTTTGATGTATGTATTGGAGTTTGTGTGGCCTTTGAACTGTTTAAATGCTTTTATAATTCATAGGTCAAAAATGACCCATAAGACAATCCTCTAGTGGTGTACAGCCCACATGGAAGTAAAGTATTTTTTTCTAATGATTGAGTCCATTTAGGAAAAGTCAAAAAAGTTAGTTTTAGGTATTTTTTCTTCAGCTAACCATGATGGGTCATTTTTTTACCCATACAACACAAGGTTTAAAGCACTCAATTCTGCCCTCTGATAAACTTTCAATATGACCTCACACCTCAAGTACCTGCTTCATTTCCCTGATCCCAAACTATAGAGGGTTGTCAAGATGCCAGTGTCAGATTAGTTTGAAACCATAAAAACCTAGGCGTCAATATCTCAGCCACTGACTGATTCAGTCTAAGTATAACTGCATATGTCTTTAGATATGCGTTACAAGATCTTTCCTAATAAACTAGTCTAAACCATGAACAAACCTATAGCTCCAGTAACATTGTAGGCATAGTAGAGTTAAAAAGTAAATTCTCAGCTTTACAGTCAAGTTTAAGGTGATTAAATTCAACTTAATCTCTGCTTAAAACCCATCAGGTGCCATGTCCTCTAAAGTAGCTGGTTAGGCTAAATGGTGGCATATTCACAAAAAGAAAGCGTCAATATCTGGGTATCCATTATTGAGACTAGCTTACAGTAGATTAAAAAATCCAAAACCAGTTTATTTAAAAAGTGTTTATTTTTAAAGATTGAATCTTATTGGGCCAAGAGACACGTATTCAAAGCCATAGACATGTGAAACATGTTTTTGACCTGCGAAGAGGAGACTTGGTAAGATTAATATTTCCTCAAACAGATAGTCTTCAGAGTGCTGTATCGCACAAAAGCTGAAATCTTCCATCTCACCTTTTGTTGTCTGCTTTGGGTTTGAACACTGGCCTCCACAAATGCCACCAAGGGGATTTTTGAAGTCACATATCACAACGTCACAATGCACATAAAGCTGCAAGATTAAGATGTCATTTGGCTATACGTTTCAAATGCAACAAGACTTATGCACCCAACCCAATTTTGTAAGTCACCTTAGTACTCTTGCCATCACCAAAGGCAAACATCTGGATCTCAAACCGTTTGAAGTGGGAGGGATTCCTAACTCTGGTATCAGTCCAAACAGGATGATAAACTACCTGGTAAGGGTCAGCTGGGTTTGGACAGCTGCAGAAGGTGTCAAGTTAGTTTTTAATGAATCTTAGATGCTAATCTAGATGTCTCATTTTGCAACAGCTTCACCTAGACAAACTGTCAAGTGACACTGTAAAAAAATACCCATTAATTATCAGATGCCATCTGGGTTGGGATGTTCTGTCTTCCTCTTGTGTTGCCCAGCAGTTTTCCAACTCAAGTGAAACCGGAGGGCTAGTAGATTTCAGCAGCTCCACCTCAAAGTACAGTGGCTGTTGTGGATATGTTGCTACGGGATAGTCTTCAAAGTTTTGAAATGCGCTGTAGGAGTCATCTAAGAGATCATGATATTTAGTCACTTAAATCAGTTGCCTTCTCAAATCTGACATTAAGTTTTAGTCAACACTTACCCAAAGCAAGCCTCATTACAACTTGAAACTGGCCTTTAGAGTTTTCAGCATAAGGTTCTCTCCTGTGAGGTCTTGTGTTGAAGGCCACAGACTGACTTGTGTTGATGTCATAGAAACAGGAAATCTTTAAACTGAGAATTTAAAGATTAGTTAATTCCACATCCTTCAAGTTGTCAATCAGTTCTTAAGAGTTTAAAGCTGAGTCTTACTGATACTCTGGTTCCTCTGATGTTGGACTCTTTTTCATTAGAAGTTCATCTGGCAGAGAGATCTCATTTTCATAGAGCATGACATTTGTCATGAACTGAAAAAAGTTATAAGTTCAGCTGTGTTAGAAAGACACCATGTAATCATTGAGTGCCAATGTACCTTCCTTGTT